TTCTGCACCCCCCCCCCCACTGGGGATGTGCCCGCAACCAAGGTACATGCCCTTGAACTGAATCAAACCTGAGACCTTTCAGTCCACAGGCCGACACTCTATCCACTGAGCCAAACCGGTTTCGGCTCTCTCTCTTTTTAAAAAAGATGTGGTTTTTTTTTTACTGATTTGAGAGAGAGAGAGAGGAAGGGAGAGTAAGAGAAATAGATCAGTGATGAGAGAGAATCATTGATCGGCTGCCTCCTGCATGCCCCACACTGGGGACTGAGCCTGAGACAAGGGCATACACCCAGACCAGGAACTGAACTGTCATCTCTGGGTTCACAGGTTGGCGAGCCACACCAGTGGGGCTCCTATGGCAATATCTTGCATACCTGCAGTACAGTATCAAACCAGGAAATGGACTTTGGTACAATTTACACACTTTATTCAGATTTCATCAGTTTTATACACCTCATTTGTGTGTGTGTGTGTGTGTGTGTGTGTGTGTGTGTTTGGTTCTATGCAATCGGATGATGTACCGTATTTTTCGGACCATAAGACGCACCAGTTTTTAGAGAAGGGAAATGAAGAAAAAAAGATTCTGAAACAAATAGTGTCCTAAAATATTTTATGTGCATTAAAACCCAACATCACAGTCATAAACACATGTAATCAACCCTGTAAAGTAAACAGCAGCATTTAGAACCATTTTAGAGCCGGGCAAGCACACAGAGACCACACAGAGCCGGGCAAGTAAAAAAACTTTTTTTTTAAAGTATATGTGTAGGCTATATTTGGACCATAAGACGCAGGGACTTTTCCCCCCCACTTCTGGGGGGAAAAAAGTGCGTCTTATGGTCCGAAAAATACGGTATGTAACCCAAACCACAATCAAGACACAAAGCCATCACTACATCGCTTCCGTGTGCTGTCCTTTTCAGACACACACCCTTCCACCCTCTCTACCCTTTGGCAACCACCAATCTGTTCTTCCTCTCCACAATGTTGTTCTTTCAGGAAGGCCAGCTCACTGGAGTGGAACAGCATGCACCACTTTGAGACTGGCTTTTTTGGGGGGACAGTCAGCTCTCTAACGGGCCGCGCAGAGAGTAATTTTGTTCGTTGCTCGGCTTTCTCCATCGCCATGGCGGGGGGCGATGTTCTCCTGTGGCCCGAGGCATCGCCAGTGGAACTGGAGATCATTGTAATATGGTTTCCACACAATGAAGAAAAGAAATCTCCCCTTCGGTGTTTTCATTACGACCGAATAAAATTTCATCCCCGATGAAGTCAATGTGTGCAGCGAGATCACGTGTTCTTTCTCGTACAATTTGTTTTTATCCGAAACTAATGGCTCGCTTTGTTTTTCATTTGCAAGCTTTTTGTAGGGCATTTCTCAAAGTAATCTTCTTAGGTGTCCAAACCCGCCAGGTAGCCTGTCTATTCTCTTCCTCCTCCTCTTATTCTCCGAGGCCGCCTTCGGGAGCCTTCTCGGCGCCTGCTGCCTTCTGGACAGGACGTGTGTGTCCTCCTCCGCCGTCCAGCCATCCATCCGGGCCATCAGCCCGGGCCTTCTCTCCCCCTGTTCTCTGAGGCGAAGTCTCGCCGCTCCTCCGGTGGGGTTTCCTGGGCCCTATGACTTCTCCCATGATTTACCCCCTCATTTTGCTGGAGCACATCCCCGGCAGCTCCCTGGGGGAGTGGGTGTGTGTTTTTAAAAGGCCCAGTGGTCCTTAGCTGACCATCCGTCTCTAAGAGCTGAGTACTATAAACCCAATTGCTTGGCAGGGCTCAGTGACTGCTGAAACTCCACTGTGAGTTTGGTCCTGGCCATTTCATGGAGGAACACCAAAGCATCAGCCATAGCCCGGATGGCGTGGCTCAGTGATTAGGCATCGACCTAGGAACCAGGAGATCACGGTTCAATTCCCGGTCAGGGCCCATGCCCAGGTTTTGGGCTGGATCCCCACTGTGGGGAGTGCAGGAGGCAGCCGATCCATGATTCTTATCATTGATGTTTCTCTCTGTCTCTCTGTCTCTGTCTCTGTCTCTCTCTCTCTCTCTCTCTCTCTCTCTCTCTCTCTCTCTCCCTCTCTCTCTCTCTCTCTCTCTCCCTTCCCCTCTGAAAATCAATTTAAAAATATAAATGTAGAATGGGGGGCGGGGGGAGATGAGGACAAATATATGATACCTTAATCAATAAAGTAATTAAAAATAAATTAATAAAAAATATATGTATATTTTAAAAACTTTAGTAACTCTGGGATACTGTTCTTGAAATGGTCTCTCCTGCCGTGGGCATCGCCGTGGCTGCTGTGGTCTGCCGGGGGCTGCGTGGCAGAGGAGCGGGGAGGGGATACGGTTTCATTGTACCAGAGTGACACCCCTCTCTGCCCTCAGATTCTGCGGGACTGAACTGGAGCTGGGTGGGCTGAGGATGGCTGTGTGGTGAGGGAGGCACCCTGCGAGTCCAGTGCCAGAGGAGATCTGTGGTCACCTAAAAGACTCCCAGCTGAGGACCCCACGTTCAGCCTCACCCTCCACCCCCGCCCTTCGAGATCCCTTCTGTCTCTGCTTTTCAAGAGTTTGCAAGGTCGTGAGACTTGGCTGTCCCTTCCCCCGACCCCTCCCCACGGCTCCCCACGGCGGCCCCCGGGGCCGACACCCTGGGCCCGGCTACATTCATCTGAGCTTCGAAGCTCCTAGTTTTGCAGACAACACTCATCTGCTGTTGTCATCTTTCCCACTGCTGTCTGCGTCGCTTGGTGTCTATTTTACGTACTTTCAGTTTCCTGGAGCTTCTGAGGACAGCCATACCTTTGCTGCCCTTAAGCAGAAGTTCATTTAAAAAAATTACTTATTTCAGAGAAGAAGGAAGAAGGAGAGAGAGATGGAAACATCACTACTAAGAATTAGTCATCAGCTGCTTCCTGTACACCCCCCTCTGGGGACTGATCCCTCAACCCAGGGATGTGCCCTTGACTGGAATCGAAACTGGGACCCTTTAGTCCCCAGGCCGAGGAGCCCTCGCTGGTTTGGCTCAGTGGATAGAGCGTTGGCCTGGGGACTGAAGGGCCCAAGGTTTGATTCTGGTCAAGGGCACATGGCTCGGTCGCAGTCTCCATCCCCAGCCCTGGTCAGGAAACCACTTGATGTGTCTCTCTCGCATCCATGTTCCCCTGTCTCCCCCCCTTCCCTTCCACGGTCTCTAAAACTCAGTGGGAAAAATACCCTCTGCTGAGGATTAACAACAGCAAAACATTTAAAACCGAGGAAAATGAGGACGGAGAGGGCGAGATCCTTGCTCGAAGTCACATGATGCGTTAACAACAGGGTTAGACAGTGTTACAGGCTTCTTGCTCCCAAGCAACTCCCCACCCCCACCCCCCAGCCTGGGTGAGGTCAGAGCCGTGGGGGAAGCCCCCAGAAAAACCATTTTGGGGGAGGGTGGGGTGACTCAGACAGAACTGCTAACGGCAGGCGCTACCAACGTGTCAAGGATTCTGGATGCACAGAGACCTGGCGTCAGGCGGGCTCAGCAGAGGTCTCTGAGCCTCGGTTTCCTCATCGGCGAAATGCAGGCGTAATGGGGATCAGATAAGGCGCCCGGTGTCCTCCCTTGGGACATGCCAGACACCAAGAAGTTCGAGGTCGCCCTCTGACCTTGGTGGTGACACATGCCCCTTTCCAGGGCAGGAGCCGGCTGGTGGAGCTGACCTGGCTCCGGACATGGATTGCCGTGCGGTCCTCTTTCTCTGCCTGAGCCTCATGACCTGGCAGTGTGGGGCAGAAGGTAAGAGGGCTCTGCCGAGCTGCGAGCTGCAACCCGCGGCCGGACCCCTGGCTGTGACGGGAAAGGGGAGGCCTCAGACCAAGGGAGACTGAGACGGGGCGTAGGCCTCCGGGGCGGCAGCGAGCTGAGCCAGCAGGCCCAGCTGGGCTGGAAGAGTCACAGGCCCCGGGCCCGGGGCAGCTGCGGACAGAGGCTGAGGTGGGGGTCTGGCCTGCTTCCCACAGAGGCAGCCCAGCAAGTCAAGAGCTGGATGAAGGGAATGGAGCCATCCAAGGGACGAATCTCACGTGATCCTGCCGCGTGAGTTGTGTCCCTCCCTCCTCTCCTCCCACTCCTCACTTGTACCTTGAATCAGTGGTCCAAAGTTGGTCTAGTGTAGACTATTAAAAAAAGCCGAAACCAGTTTGGCTCAATGGATAGAGAGTCGGCTTGGGGATTGAAGGGTCCCGGGTTCGATTCCGGTCAAGGGCATGTACCTTAGTTGCGGGCATATCCCCAGTGGGGGGTGTGCAAGAGGCAGCTGATCGATGACTCTCTCTCATTGATGTTTCTAACTCTCTATCTCTCTCCCTTCCTCTCTGTACAAAATCAATAATATATATATATATATATATATATACACACAATAATATATACACAGATACAATACATACATACAATAATATACATACACACAATCATATATATATATATATATATATATTTTGAATATATATATATATACACATACATACATATAAACATAGTGATTTAAGAGAAGAAAGGAGGAAAGGAGAGGGAGAGAGAGGTAGACTCATCAATGATTAGAGAGAACCATCTATTGGCTGCCTCCCGCATGCGTCCTACAGCGGATCGAGGCCCCAGCCCCAGCATGTGCCCCGAATAGGAATTGAGCCGGGACCTTTTGGTTCGTGGGTCCACCGCTGAGTCACACCAGCCTGGCTAGTGTAGACTATTAATTCATTAATTGAGGGCCTACCATGTGCTCTGGAGGTGCAGGATAGACATACCTTTCTGCCCCCACCAAGTTTACCGTCTGCTTGGGGGCCCTTAGCTATGGGTGTCAGGAAACCAGGGGCAGCATCGTGGGTCTCTGTGCATGTTTTCTGGAAGGGGCTCTAGAGCTCAGACTGGTCTCCTCTCGAGTCTGTGACCCAAAGGCCGAGCAGCTCTGGCTGAGAGAGAGAGACCAATGCGGTCGACTGGCCAGGGAAGCCTGGGGACTATGGGGTACTGCAATCAGTCAACATGGAGCAGGCAAGGAAGGCTTCCTGGAGGAGGTGTCAACAAAACTGGGACCTGAACGAGAGTCAATCGGGAGAAGGAAATGAGTGGGGTGGGGAGGGAAGAGTGTGCCAGGGGCACTGTGTGCGCGAAGGTCCACAGGTGGGAGTGACAATGAGTGTGGGGAGAGGAGAGCCCTACCCTCCCATGCTGTCTGGACCCCCTGTCACCCTCCCCCCATTGCCGGATCTGGTCGCCTCTCTCGCCCCCAGGCTCGTCCACGGTCTGGAGGACAGGCTGCTGAACGCCAGCTTCGAGGACTCCAGCCTCATCGTGCAGACGCACACCATCCAGTCGCTGGCCTTCAAGCTGGGCTGCGACTTCGCCGGCCTGTCGGTGGACAGTGATGCTCTGGATCGCGTCCCCCAGGTCAGAGGTGACCAGGACAGGGGGTCGGGGGCGGCCAGGGCCTCCACCCCAGAAACTCTCCAGGTGTGTGAGGTCTGAACGTTCCCCAGGATCCGTCCATCGGGGCTCTGTCCTAGGAGCTGAGTTGCTTTTTCTGTAAAACTAGAGGCCCGGTGCACGAGGTTCATGCATGGGTAGGGTCCTTAGTGGCTGCCGGCTGCCTGCTGCCGCCACCTCCATCCTCATCCCCTGGTTGAATTCCCAGTCGAGGAGACAATTTGCATATTAGGCTTTTATTATATAGGAGGGGGCTGGTGTTCCTCCCGGGAGGGACAGAAATGGGGGTGTCCTGTGGCCCCTTTAAGCCAGTGTCCCCATCCTGCGTTTGCAGAGCTGGTGGCTGGCGGCAGTGAGAGCCGTGGGGGAGGCCAGGGCATGAGGCTCCTTTTAGGATGAGGGTGTGATCCCTGCTGAATGCCTGGGTGGGTGAGTGGGTGGGGGAGAAGCTCCACCCTCCGGGGGCCCAGTGGGTGAGGCAAGTGACCCAAATTCAAGGCCAGAGCTGCCTGGAGGGAAGACCTGGGTCTCGGCAAGTTTGGAGGAGGTGCAGCCGGGAGGAGGGTGTTGCAGGGGGAGGCTCCAGGGAAAGAGAAGCCGGGGAGAGGTTGGGAGGAGTGAGGGCCAGGGGAGCGGGGGCCAGGGGAGGTGCTGGGGTGGACCCGGAGGCCTCAGGAGCCCCGCTCAGCCTCGCTGGACCCCGCAGACCTGGGCCAGGCATGCCATGCAGTTTCCCACGGAGCTGACGAGGAAGGCCTGCCGGACACGCCGGCGGGAGCTGCGTCTCATCTGCGTGTACTTCTTCACCTCCAGGTTATTCCAGGTCAGTTTTTCCAGGGGGGCCCGCTGGGGGGCGCCGGCCTCTTCCGGGGGCACGGCAGCACCCATGCCACGGCCTGGGCTCTGGGGGTGGGACCAGCATCAGAGGGACCAGCCCACTTGCCTCTCTCTGGGACTCCGTTTTAGCAGAATGGTGGGCGTCAGTGACAGTAATGTGCAAGTGAGACCGGAGAAACCTACTTCTGTGTGTGCATGTCCCCAGGCGGGAGACGGAACAAGGCCACAAGGTCCCTGTCGTCAGAGAACTCTCCATCCTGAGCGTTATACTAGGACCGTGGAGATTTATTTTTATTTAAAACATACATTTTATTGATTTTTTTTTTCCAGAGAGGAAGGGAGAGGGATAGAGAGTTAGAAACATCAATGAGAGAGAACCATCGATCAGCTGCCTCCTGCACACCTCCCCACTGGGGATGTGCCCGCAACCAAGGTACATACCCCTGCCCAGAATTGAACCTGGGTCCTTTCAGTCCGAAGGCCGACGCTCTATCCACTGAGCCAAACCGGTTAGGGCTAGAGACTTAATTTTAGCTCAAGGTTGATTACAACCGTAGAGATACCAAGCGATGGGTGAGTCAGGGTGGGGGCGGGGTTGCTCCAGTGGGCAATCCGGGAGGGCTTCCGGAGGAGGTGTCTTTTCACCCTGGCTTTGAGAGTGAGTTAGGACGGTGATGAAGTGGAGGGTACACAGCGGGGGGGAGGAGGAGCAGGAGGGCGGTCAGAGGACTGCTTTCCCGGCGGAGGGAGCGGCGTGTGTGAAGGCCGGGAGGCTGGCTCGTGTTGGCCCTATGAAAGCAGGCTGCTCTTCTCACCCAGGGAGGCGGGCCTGGAGAAGGGGGGCCCTGGGACCTTGTCCGGGTCTCCTCTCGTCCCCGCCAGTCAGCCCTTCTCCTGTCCCCCTCCCAGCAAGACAACTCTTCTCTGCTCAATGACTACGTCCTGGGGGCCCAGCTGGAGCGCGAACACGTGGACAACCTCACGGAGCCGGTCAACATCAGCTTCTGGCACAACCAAAGCCTGGTACCGTGGGGACGTCCCCGTGTCCACCCCGTCCCATCCCTAAAATTAAGTCTCTAGCCCTAACCGGTTTGGCAAAGCCCAGCCAGTACCTGGTAAAAGGTTGACAAGGGTGCAGTCGAGTCATCTTTGGGGCCCCCATGATTTCCAGACCCTGATCTCTCCCCTGAGCCCCTGGGATGCACCCAACCCCAGCGTCTCTCTCCCCTCAGGAAGGCTACAACGTGACCTGTGTCTTCTGGAAGGAGGGAGCCAGCGAGCGCCACTGGGGGCTCTGGAGCCCCGAAGGCTGTCGCACAGAGCAGCCCTCGCCTTCCCAGGTGCTCTGTCGCTGCAACCACCTCACCTACTTCGCCGTTCTCATGGTACGCATGCTCCCCGCCGGGCTGGGGGCGGTCAGAGTCGCAGAAGGCCCCACACTCAGGACAGAGAAGCAGGGCAACGGCTGGACATCCAGCTCACATGAGCTTGGGGGTGGGGGTGGGGTGGAAATTGGTGGGTTTATGTTCCTGAAAAGGCTGTGTAGGCTTCAGGTATGGCTTGATCCAGGGGCTCACTATCACCAAGACAGGCCTCCTGGGCTGCTAGCTTTTAGGCCAGTGGAATGAGAGATTCTCTTACTCATTTCTGCCGGTCACATTCTTGAGTGTGTCACATGCCTCTCCCGTAACCAATCACCGTGGACAGGAGGAGGGAGGGCTCTCGCAGGCCGGGAGTGATGCACCTGTGCACAACAGTGGGCGAAATGGTGGGTCCACCCAGGTGTGTGGACAGTGAGGGAAGGGAGATCTCAGAGGGGCAGGAAGTTAGGGAGGTCAAAAAGCCACTGTGTCTGCCATGGCTTTTTAAAAAAAATATATTTTTTATTGATGTTTTACAGAGAGGAAGGGAGAGAGAGAGATAGAAACATCAATGAGAGAGAAACATCCATCAGCTGCCTCCTGCATGCCCACTACTGGGGATATGCCTGCAACCAAGGTACATGCCCTTGACGGGAATTGAACCTGGGACCTTTCAGTCTGCAGACCGACGCTCTATCCACTGAGCCAAACTGGTTAGGGCTGTCATGATTTTTTTTTTTTTTTTTTGAGCCAGGGCCATGGTGAGGATTGGGGGGCAAGGGGCTTGGACCCGGGGCCATGGCAGGTCTCTCCCACTGAGCCCGGCGGGAGGCATGTCCGTGTCCTGGTCTCCAGTCCCCCATTCTCTCCCACAGCAGTTCTCCCCGGCCCCGCTGCCGGCGGAGTTGCTGGCGCCTCTCACGTACATTTCCCTCGTGGGCTGCAGCATTTCCGTCGTGGCTTCCCTGCTCAGCCTCCTGCTGCACTTCCACGCCAGGTATGCCCGGCGCCCGGCCTGCCCGCCCCGGCCGCTCAGCACGGTCCCCCAGGGCGGGATGGGTCTCCCCTGAGGGCGGAGGTTGGCTCCCTGCCCGCCTCCACCTGTGTCCCCCCCATTGTGTGTCTGTGAGTCCGGGCCTGGGTGGTGTCCCCGGGCCACCGAGGGCCATGCTCCCCCCCCCCCCCCCACTCCCGCAGGAAGCAGAGTAACTCCAGCACACGCATCCACATGCACCTGCACGCGTCCGTGCTGCTCCTGAACGTGGCCTTCCTGCTGAGCCCCGCGCTGGCCGCGCCCTCCGTGCCTGGGGCGGCGTGCGTGGCCCTGGGCGCCGTCCTGCACTTCGCGCTGCTCAGCTGCCTCACCTGGATGGCCATCGAGGGCTACAACCTCTACCTGCTCCTGGGGCGCGTCTACAACATCTACATCCGCAGATACGTGCTCAAGCTCTGCGCCGTGGGCTGGGGTACGCCCGGCCTCCCGCCCCTCCTGCTCCCCGAGACTTCCGGCGGCACCGAGCACCGGCCCCGCCTGTCCTTCTCCTTCCCTTCCTCCTCCTCATGGTGGCCATGCAGGACCCCGTCCCCATCCCTGACAACACCCCCCACCTCTTCCTACGGTACTGTTCTTATCTCACGACCACCGCCAACACCACTCTCTACCAGCTCTACCTCCATCACCTCTACTACCATCACCTCCACCACCCTTCCTCCACCTCCAATACCACCCCTTCTTCCGTTACATCTACCTCCATCACCTCTACCTCCAACACCACTCTCTCTACCGGCTCTACCTCCATCATCTCTACTACCATCACCTCAACCTCCAACACCTCTACCTCCACCACCACCATCACCTCCACCACCATCACCTCCACCACCCTTCCTCCACCTCCAATACCACCCCTTCTTCCGTTACGTCTACCTCCATCACCTCTACCTCCAACACCACTCTCTCTCTACTGGCTCTACCTCCAACGCGTCTACCTCCACCACCACCATCACCATCACCTCTACCACCTCTTACTCCATCACCTCTACTTCCAACATCCCCATCACCTCCGCCACCATTTTGACTACATCCCCACCCCCCTCCATCATCGCCACCATCCTCACCCTCACCCTCACTGCTGTCTCGCGCACCACTGTCATTGTTGTCTCTAGCTGCATCCTGGCCCCTCAATGATCTGTTTCTCATCTGCTCTTCAATCCTCTCTCCCGTCAGCTCCCCAGCGTGGCCACCACTGCTGCCGCCACTGTCCCACCTCAGAGCCTCACCCCCTCACCTGGGAGAGCAGCCTTCTCTGAGCTCCCCAGGATGATTGCTCTGAGGCTGGACCACAGGACAGGGGCGGGGGGCTCGGAACAGACTCTTTCTCTCCCCACTCCTTTCCCCGTGGACTCCTGTCTCAGCAGCACGGGGCCCCACCGCCAGCTGGTCCCTGGGGTCTCCTGGCAGATGCTGAGCCTCTGTCCCCCTCCGCAGGGGTCCCTGCCTCCCTGGTGCTGCTGCTCCTGGCCATCAACAGCTCCGCGTACGGCCGCCACGTGATCCCGCTCTCCCACGGCCCGGGGACCGGCGCGGGCGTCCAGAACACGTCCATGTGAGTGCGCGCCGGGCTGTGGCAGGAGAACCGCGTGGCCCCGAGGCCCCGGACGGGGTGTCCGCAGGCGGGGCGCTGGCTGTGCCTTCTGGAAGTGGGTTCCCGGAGCCCAGAGGCGGCTGCAACCCCCTCAGCTCCTTGGCTGTCCTCACGCTGACAGTCAGGACACAGACTCTGGGCTCCGACCACAGGGCTTCCAGTCCCATCTTCGCCTCTTGATAGCGTGTTTCTAAGCCCGAGCCTCGGTTTCCTCATCTGTGGAATGGGGACGGTTCCCGCCTCCGAGGCAGAGTCCTCACGAGGATGGACTGGGCTAAGAAAGTGTGTGACACAGTGTCTGGCCGGGAGGGAGAGGTGATGGAGGAAGAGGTGGTGGAGGTGATGGTGATGGTGATGGAGGCATCCTGGGAAGCAGAGGGCTGGGCAGGAGGCCCTGGGGCTGCCGGCAGGGGCCCCGGATGGCAGTGGGTCCTGCAGTGGGTGGGTGCCTGCCTGGAAAGCCGGCTCAGGACTTCACCCCGTGTGCGGTCAGGCCAGAAACAGGAGGCCTGAGTGGAGACACTGGCCCGGGTTCAAGAGGCAGAGCCACGGTGGGCGCCCTGACCCCCGCCCTCCCCCGCAGGTGCTGGGTGCGGAGCCCCTGGGCGCACCGTGTCCTGGTCGTGGGCTACGGGGCCCTCACCACCCTCTTCAACCTGGCGGTGCTGGCCTGGGCGCTGTGGACGCTGCGCAGGCTGAGGGCGCGGGGAGAGGTGCCCGGCAGGCCTGCCTGCAGGGACACGCTTACCGTGCTGGGCCTCACTGTGCTGCTGGGCACCACCTGGGCCCTGGCCTTCCTCTCCTTCGGCGTCTTCCTGCTGCCGCAGCTCTTCCTCTTCACCATCTTCAACTCGCTCTACGGTGGGTCCTGGGGTGGCCGGGGGCGGGGGGAGATTTGGGGGTGCACACCTGGAGGGTGGATGTTCCCTGTAGAAAGGCTCAGATCCAGCCGAAACAGGTGTGGCTCAGTGGATAGAGCATTGACCTGCGAACTGAGGGGTCCCAGGTTTGATTCCGGTCAAGGGCATGTACCTTGGTTGCGGGCACATCCCCAGTGCGGGGTGTGCAGGAGGCAGTTGATCGATGATTCTCTCTCATCGATGTTTCTAACTCTCTATCCCTCTCCCTTTCTCTCTAAAAAAAATCAATAAAATATATATTAAAAAAAAAAAAAAAAGAAAGAAAGAAAGAAAGAAAGAAAGAAAGAAAGAAAGAAAGAAAGAAAGAAAAGAAAAAGGCTCAGGTCCAGGGTGAACCGGAGGCTGAAATCCAGCCCCAGGAGGAGCTGGTCGGGGGCTCCGTCCTCCCAGAGCAAAGGTCCCTCTGGACTGCACTGGCTGGTCCTCCCACTCCCGTGCTCCACCCCCCACCCTGGCCTCCCGCCCCAAGGAATTCTGGGAATTCCAGGGAGGCCCAACTCACCCAGCCAAGGAGGATCCCGGGAGAGGCCCCCAGGACGCTGCCTGACCAGCCCTTCTCCCGCAGGCTTCTTCCTGTTCCTGTGGTTCTGCTCCCAGCGGTGCCGCGCCGAGGCTGAGGCGGAGGCCGAGAAGGAGGCGTTCAGCACCTCCCTGATGATGCACTAGCCTGCCCCCCGGGCCGGAACCCCAGCCTCTCCGGTGCCTGCACCCCGAGGCCCCGGCGTCCGCCAGAGAGGGTGGTGGCCCGCCACCGGACACCAGAGCCCTGTGCCCTGCAGGAGGCTTTCCCGGCCCAGAGTGCCCGCCGCATTCTACCCTGCGGTGGGTCCGACCCCAGGGGGGGCAGCCAGCTCTACCCGGTGCCTGGAGCCTGGTGCCTGGCGCCTGGAGCCTGGTGCCTGGCTTGTGGACAGAGCTCTGGCCTGGGAGCCAGGAGGCCCCCTTCCGAGGCCTGGCTCGGAGTCTGACTGTGTGACGCTGGGCCTGCCATTCCTCACGGACCCTGGGTGTCCATGTCTGACATGAGGCAGGTGGCTCTGGCCCTGCCTAGACTGAGAGCCTCGTGAAGCCTGGACAAGGCCGGGAGGAGGGGGGTCACCGTGGGCCCCCCGTGATCTGCATCTGCCGGCTGCTGGGCCTGCCTCCTCCCTCCGGCCACATCCCGGCCCGGGGCCCAGGCCTCAGAGACCCATGCGCTGTCGGAGACCTCGCCAGCCTGTGCACAGGCCTCTTTCCCTTTAATTTGACCCCCAGCTCCATGGCCACAGCTCTCAGAGCCCAGGAAGCCCCGTCCTTCCCAGAGGCCCCTCCTCCCTCCAGGGCTCCCAGGTCTCCAAGGCCCTTTGGACCAGCGGCCGGGCCGTGGGGCTGCGGGGACAGGAGGGGAATGCCTCTTTGCCCTGCGCCTGAGCCGGCTGGGCCTCAGGGGCCGGCTGTCGGGCGGCCGGGTAGAATTGGATGTCCCTTGCTGGGGGTGAGGATGTGGATTCTAAATCCACGGTCAGGCCCCTGGAGCAGAGAATCACCGCGGCCCTTGACCTATCTGTTCAACCCTACCTGAGGGAAACGGATGGAGCCGGAGCCTTTCCAAGACTGCACACCAGGGGGCGCTGTGGACATGCGCTCGGAGGCTATTGGCCCCAGAACCGCTTCTGGAAATGCTGGGAACAGGACCCACCCGAAAGAAGGGTTCTGCCTCCAGGACTGCGCCTGCTGAGTGACCAGGAGGAGGGCTGCCAGCACGTTCACAGCCATTTCCCTCTTTACCAACCCAGCTGCCCGCTCTGGCTCTCGGGCTCTCAGGGCCCAGCTCGGGGCCACGGGACAGATTTTAATGACTTTGAAGGGCACAGGGAAGGGATGGGAGCTGGGTCCCTATGGCCGTGCCCTCTGTTCATTCCTCGGTGCGCATAGCCCCTCCCGAGGTGGTAAGTGGCTCTGGAGCCAGACAGGCGGGGCTCAGAGGCCAGCTCCGCCACAAGCCACCCAACCTCCTCGTGCCTCAGTTTCCCCACCTGTGCACCTAGGGGCAACAGGAGGACTGCTTTTGGAGGTTACACGAGATGATCCGTGTAAAGAGGCTCAGCACAGAGGGAGAGCTCAATAAACGTTACTACGGTTACGGTGAGCACGTTGGCCATTACGATGAACAGCGTCAGCTGGGTCTCAGAGGCCAGCCTGCCGGAGCCCCAGGTCAGCTCAGCAACCTCGCAGGGCACATTCTGCTGCCCCTCGGCCTGGCCACCTCCTCCCCCTCCCCCCGGCGTGCCCTCTGCTCCAGCCCCGCTGGCCTTCTGCTGGGTTAGGAACTTGCCCCACACACTGCAGCCTCCCATTCCCCAATCCTCGGCTCTCCTGAAATCCCTGTGGCCCTCGACGGCTTCTTCCAGGAAATCGCTCCGATTGCCCTGCAGGCAAGTGTCTTTCCCGCGCTGACTCCAAGCAGAGTGTGCCCCCACCTGTATCGGGGTGATGTGAGCCCCCATTCAGGCCCCCCTGGCTCAGCCCAGCCTTGCCCTGTACAAGGCTCCCCAGGACTTGGGGTAGCTCCCATGCTAATTGGGGTGCTCAGGGATCACAGACAGCCCCAGCCCCTCTCTTGGGCAGCTCTGGGGAGCGGTGACCTAGGCTAGGTTGGCAACCTAGTGATGGGGGGCCTTGCCCGGACCTCCCTTTTCACATGCTCCCTTCCCCCCTGCTGGGGGCCTGGGGTCTAAGGCTATTCAAGAGAGGATGTGGCCACCGTGACAGGAAATGGGTTTGGAGGTTCCAGGAAGTGGCCCCAGGCTTGTGGCCCGGAACCCCATTGGGTCCAGGCTCAGGGATGGGACCACTTCCAGGAAATGCCCCACCGAACGTGGGGGCCGGGAGGAGTGACATTTATTAGACACTAGTTTACTTCAATAAAACCGCCCTTTTAAAAAGAAGCGATAGGAGAAAGAGAAACAGAAATCTACCATCCCCATGGGCTCTTTCAAGTGCGTCTCCTATCATGGACAGGAGAGCTGGAAAATTTGGACCGGGCATAGATTTGAACCGCAGGAGCACAAAGCTCGCTCTAACGGACATCGATTGCATCCTGCGTCCCGCAGTCACATTGGTCTCAGCACTTACGGCCCATTTTAAAATATTGATTGCATGCCAGCTTAGAAAAGCTCCCAGTCTCTCAGAGAATGGACACAGGCAGAGCTCACTCTGTGACTGCGATGGAGTTAGACAGTAATGACAAAAGAGAATTTAAGAAAAGCCCGTATGTTTACAGATTTGTCACCGGGACCATCAGATTGGGGCGTCCGGAGGCAGACGGGGGCGTGTTTGGTGGGGAGGCTCACAGGCCCGCGGGCGGGAGGGGCCGCTGGGCACTCAGAGCCGGTGGAATTGGTTGTGCATGAGGGGAAATGTGCACGGGACCGCTGCCTCACAGGACGCTCAGCAACGAGTGTGAACAGCGTGCTGTGTGTGAACAGACTCGGGGTGCAAAAACGCCGCCTTCCGCTATTACTTGACATCACCGCGACTCTAACCCCCACCCTCCGCAGGAGCAGGCCAGTGGGTCAGTGGCTTGGAGAAGGCGTGTGGGCTCAGTGACAACCTGGGAGACGGGAGGAGCCCGGGGAGAGAGCCTTCAGCTCACCTCCCGCCCTTCCCGGTCACTGCTGATGTCCTTGGACTCAAGCCCATGGGGTCTCTCTTTAAAAAAAAAAAAATTATTTGTATTTTTGTTGTTGTTAATCCTCACCCAAGATATTTTTTCCTTTGATATTTTTTTAAGAGTGTGTGTAAGGGAGAGAGAGAGACAGAGAGAGAAACATGGATGTGAGAAAGACACATCAATTGATTGCCTCCCACTGGGATGGAGCCTAGAACTAAGGCACGTGTCCTTGACCGGAATCGAACCCAGGATCTTTCGGTCGAAGGCCGATGCTCTCACCACTGAGAAAACCATCAGGGCCCATGGGCTCTCTCATGCTGGCTCCCGCCCTGCCCCTCCCCAGGCGTCCTGGCCCGGGAAGCTTTGCTGAGGCCAAGAAGCTGCCTCTCAGAGATGCGCAGACCTTCCTCCCAGCTGTCCGCAACGGTGGGAACCTCTGGTCTCAGGCAGGTCCTGGCTTCGTCCCCTCCCGAACCCCCCCCCCCCCCGCCCGCCCCAGCCTCCCAAGGAGCACCCCTCCCCCTGCCCTAGAGCTAGAGCTGGCTGTTTCCTTAGGCGGGGGTGTTAGGGCAGAGTGGAGGGTGTTAGGTCAGGGTGGGGGGGTGTTAGGGCAGGGTGGGGGGTATTAGGGCAGGGTGAAGGGTGCAACCCCGCCTGGTAGAAAGCTTTCCTATGAGAGGGAACTTCTAGCTGAGACCTCAATGTTGAATAGGATGGGCTGGGGGGTGAGGGAGGGGGAGAAGTGTGTTGGCAAAGACTTGGGGTTGAGATGGAAAGAGGAGGGAGAAAGCGGGTGGGCTTGGAGTGTAGGGTGGTGGTGGGAGGGGCAAGAGGGAAACCAGAAGGGTAAGAAGAGACGGAGGGAGGGGCGAGGCTCCGAGAGGTGTTGGGAGGTGGGACCCCCAGGGCGGAATGCCTGACTGGACATCCGGGTTGGAGTGGGGTGCCATCAAAGCTGGTACTTGGGGTCCTGGGTGGTTGGGGGGGCCTGGCTCTAACGGGTGTGGAGCCCGAGAAAGAAGGACAAGTGACGTGTGTGTGTGTGTGTGTGTGTGTGTGTGTGTGTGAGTTTTATGGGTTCCGTTATTTACTTTTAAAGATTAAAAAGATTGTGAACTATCCGAAACCGGTTTGGCTCAGTGGATAGACCATCGGCCTGCGGACTGAAAGGTCCCAGGTGTGATTCCGGTCAAGGGCACATACATTGGTTGCAGGCACATCCCCAGTGGGGGGGTGTGCAGGAGGCAGCTGGTCGATGTTTCTCTCTCATCGACGTTTCTAGCTCTCTATCCCTCTCCTTTCTTCTCTGTGGAAAATCAATAAAATATACATATATTAAAAAAAAAAAAAAAAGACTGTGGACTAGAGAGCACGCACAGGGTAGACACACAACTTCACGAAATTTGCAAAGCGAATGCCCATGTCCCCGCCAGCCCAGAACCCCAGCCCCCTCGTCCTCCATCCCACCGCTCCCGGCCCCGGCGAGGGAAACATCCTGGTGTGAGAGGCACCGTTTCCTCGCTTTTGATCGCTTTACCACGTGAAGCGGCCTCACCGAACAATAGAGGTCCGGTCTCGCCGGTTCTGGAAGAAGACGGTGTAAACAGAACCAGCCTGCCTTCCCCTCCCCGTTCCGCCTGCCAGAGTCACGTGTGGAGACGTCGCGTGTCCGTGTGGCTGCTGCGTGCTGTTCCAGCCAGGACCACACCCCCCACGTGGTGCGAGCCCCGTGTCCTTCCTGCTGATGGACCTCCGGGAGGTTTGCAGGTCGGGCTTTTGTTGGGAGCAGTGCGCCGTGAGCATTCGCAGGTGTAAGCGGTGGTGCGTGTGCATGTGGTTTCCTCCAAGCTCTGTATCGGGGGCAGAACGTCTGGGCTGCAGGTGGTAGGTATCTTCAACTTCACAGACGACGCCAGCTCTCTGAAGTGGCGAAGCGCAATGAGAGTCCCCCCGCCTGTGAGGTTCCCAGCTCCCCGGTGCCACCCTTGGTACTGCGAACCTTTGGCAATCCGCTGGGCGTGTAGCAGTATCTCATCGCTGTTGTAAATATAGCATTGCTGTTGTAAACGAATGAGAGCACCTCTTTTTTTTAAAAAAAATATTTTATTGAGTTTTTACAGAGAGGAAGAGAGAGGGATAGAAAGCCAGAAACATCGATGAGAGAGAAACATCGACCAGCTGCCTCCTGCACACCCCCCACCGGGGATGTGCCTGCAACCAAGGTACCTGCCCTTGACCGGAATCGAACCTGGGACCTTTCAGTCTGAAGGCCGATGCTCTATCCACTGAGCCAAACCGGTTTCAGCGAGAACACCTCTTGGTTTATTTATTGGCTGGTTGATCTCTTCTTTTTTTACCCCCTCCCCCCAAATATTTTGCCTGTTTTCTACCGGGTTGTGTGTCATTGTGACAGATGCCTCGGGTGCCAGAGTCACTCTGTCCTCAGCCACTGTGTGGTGGGCGAACCTCCCACTGTCAGAGAGCCAGGCTGTCTGTCTACAGGCCACCCCCGGGTCTTCTCAACACTGTGGAAAAGACTGGAATGGGAGGGCGAGGTGTAGCTGATGGAAAGGTACCCCAGCCTCCCGACCTTCATAGCAAGGACTCCAGCTCCTCAGAGGTCACGGAGGCCCCACTGAGCAGGCGGGGCTGGGAGCCAGGCGGGGTGCTCCCCTGAGGACCACCTCATGCCTCTCTCAGGTTATGAGAGGTCTCCAGGCACCTGCTCTGGACAGGGCCTGGGCCAATGGGAGCGTGGTCCTTCCGTGGAGCAGCCAATGGAAAGCGAGCTCGGAGGGGTGGGCGGAGCATCCGGGCCGCACCTGGAGATGCATCTTCCTGGCCCACTGTCCCTGCAAGGGGCAGCACACAAGGATATTTTTTTCTATTGATTTTTTTTCCTTTTTTGAGAGTGGGAGGGAGGGAGGGAGAGAGAGAGAGAGAGAGAGAGAGAGAGAGAGAGAGAGAGAGAGAGAGAGAGAGAGAGAGAGAGAGAGGGATCAAGGTGAGAGACACATTGATTGGTCGCCTCCTGCATACCCCTGACCAGGCTTGGGATTGAACCTGCGACTCTGGGGAAGTGGGGCGCCATATTGGCCAGGACAAGGTTACAGACTTTTAAAAAATTATTATTATTTTAATATATTTTATTGATTCCAGAGAGGAAGATGAGAGAGGGAGAGACAGAAACATGATGAGAGAGAATCACTGAGCAGCTGCCTCCTGCACCCCCCATGCCCCCACTCTGGGGATCGAGCCCGCAACCCAGGCATGCGCCCTTGGCTGGAATCGAACCCCGGGACCCCTCAGTCTGCAGACCGACACTCCATCCACAGAGCCAAACCAGCCGGGGCGAGGTTTACAGACTTTTATACCAATATTCCCCGGGGTTATCTGTGTGTGCCCAGTCAAATCACACGAGCACTAAAAAATCCCAGCTGGTGGCAGAGATGTGG